GGGGGGGGCGCCTAGTACTAGTAGTACTAGTAGTACTAGTAGTACTAGTAGTACTCGTAGTAGTAGTAGTAGTAGTAGTAGTAGTAGTAGTAGTTGCTGTTGTCGTCGTCGCAGTAGCAGTAGCAGTAGCGGTAGTAGTTGTCGTCGGCTTCGTCATCGTCGCTAGCGTCGTCGTCGTTGTGTATTGGGTTCTGTTTTGTCTGTATAATCGCGTATTACACCTCCCCCAAACCCCGAATCTAACTATCAACACCCCGATATAAAACTCTGATAGAACTTCCTGTAGACCCATTTGCTGGAACCTGTGAGGAACGCTTGTAGAAATCCTCCTGTTTAAGGCCTTAAATTCCCTGTGGCTTCTGTCGCCAGCCCAGATAGAAAGTCGGCGCTGTCTTGATGGAAGGAGGCGGTGCAGTTACAACCGTTCTTTCCACGGCTGCTGTCTTTGATAAGAGATGTGTAAGGGTTTTATGCGGTTTGTTTTCTTTGAGTTCAGGTTTCATAAAGGTTTCATTGGGGTTTAGGGGTCCTTCTGAGGGTTCTATTCCCAAAGTTTCCCCAAAGTTCCAAGGCCGAGTTCCAATTCAGCAGGCCCATAGCATGATTACGCTAGTTTTTGCGAATGGCTATATTGAAAATAGTCCGAAAACGTGTGGTAAGTAGAGCACCCAAGGTTGGGGGAAGTTGCGGTTTAGGGAGGGCCTTGGGAGAGCTTCATAGTGTACCTTTGAGGTGTTGAAAGGCCTGGGTTTAGGGTTTAGGGTTTAGAGGTTTAGGGTTTAGGGTTTAGGGTCCTGCACCAAAGAGTGGTTGCAAGGTCCGTCCCGAGTTTACGCGGCGTTCAGAGTTTGGGTGTTCAGGGTTGTTTTCCGGCTTTGAACTGGCCGTTATGCGTCGGTGAAGGCGTGAGATCAGGGGTGTATAAAGTTTTCAAGTGCCCTAAACCCTAAACCCGAAATGCACAATTCAAACCCTAGACGTTCAAGCCTTAAATCTCTAAGCCCTAATCCCACGGCCCTCCAGCATGGACACCCTAATGTAGGGGCATTCATAATTAGAACAGGATTTTGGGAGTTTCCTATTCTAATTATAGTATGATTTACCGCAAACCCTATTCTAATTATTAAGGCCCCTATATTAAACTTTTTTCTTCAATCCGAGTCTCTTCAATAAGGATGTCGCGAAAAGGAGGCTCAATAAGAAACGCCAGTCACCAGTTCTTGCGGTGGTTCGAAAGGCTTTAAAAGCTTTAAGAGCCGGGTTTCGACAACGCCACGAGCTTCCCATTGATGGCCTAAACCCTGAACCCTAAACCTTCAACCCCGAACCTCATATTGCTGGGTATGTTGAGAGTTTGCGGCTCTGCGTTCAGGATTCCGCGTCTAGGGGTTTAGGGGGCCTTGGATTTAGCCTATTTAAGGTTTTGGGATCTAGGACTTAGGGTTTAGAGTTTCGGGCTATAGGATTTAGAGTTTAGGGTCTCGGGATAGAGGATTTAGGGTTTGGGGTTTCGGGATGTAGGATTTCGACTGTGGGGTACTGTTGAAACAAATAGTCATGGAACCGGGCAAAAGGAGCGGCATGGAGAGGACACTTGGCGTGGGCTGGCGTTGAATCCTGGTCCCTCCCTGACGCGAAGCCCTAGGCCCTAAGCCCTGAGGGTTTAGGGTTTAGGGACCCTCAACTACATCCCTTCCAGGTCTTCCAGCACCGACCTTGGGGAGTTTTGCACATCCAGAGATGTGCAACAAGCCTTGTGTATACCTGCTGCAGCTTGGCAAACTCTAAACCCTGAACCCTCTGGCTGCTTTCGAGTCTTCAGCTTCTTGTGCCATCTGCAGGACTTAGCGGTTTTTCTGCAGTGTAGGTCTCCCCAATTTTGAATTTTGTGCCTTGAGGACTTGGAATCTAGGGTTTAAAGTCTAGGTTCTAGACCATACGCTTCCTTGCAGCTTCAAGCCCAGGCCTATAGAACTGTTAATTCTGAGTACCCTGCGTAGAACCCATATGACACATGGGCCGTTGCTGAACCAGCGAGACCCTAAACCCTCAACCTTAATCAGCCATAATCCCTAAACCCTAAATCTTATCAATCTAGGGTTCCGACCACCGAACTCTCCCATACGATCCCAAGTACCTACATGGTAGAAAGCAGGGTTTCTATCGTAGGAAGTATTCCGTATTTCTATGGTGTCGGCAAATAACGGGTAATGATGGGGGCCCTTTGGGCCTAAAAGCCAAGTAATCTGTGTAGCGTAGCAGCTCTTCGGATTAAGAGTCCTACAGGGCTATGTATGCAGAGGAACCCACTGCATTGGCAACTGGTCTTTAAGGGGTATGTCGGAGGCACTCCGCACTCTTAGCCATGACTTGAGGATCTATTGGCTCTTTGAGGTTTGGAGTTACTATATTGTCAAAATTATGGTCCCCTTTTGGGTCCTTATTATAATACGGCACCTAATATTTAGGGTTCCCAAAAAGGGACCCTAATTTTGACAACCACCCATATGTTTGCGTGCAGGACTGTTGTTGCAAAGCGCCTCCAAACCTCAACCCGTCGTCCTGTATCGTAGACCGTCTCTTATTGCACTAGTGCAATCTCCCTGTTCCTCGTGTCTATACGCAGAAGGGTTTCTCCTATGGCCCTGTAATCCGCAGCCGAAATAGGCTGCAGGAGTCATAGTCGACATGATCTTTGGGGGACATAGTTGCGTAGTGGTACTCTACCGAACGCTATCGGAATACAGGAGCTGAACCCTGAGCCCTGTAAAACCTAAACCCTTAAAACCCCAAGAGCCCTAAACCCCTAAACCCCCAACCATAACTCCACCCTAAACAGGTATGGACCTTGCTCGCGTGGTGCGCTCTGTGCTCATTGTCATTTCGGACACGAGGGGGGCCGTTCCGTGGCAGCACAACGCCCTCCTTGGGCTTCAAAGTGCTTGGAGTTTAGGGGTTCAGGGTTTCTTCGAGTTGTGGGATTTAGGGTTTTGGGGGTTTAGGGTTTAAGTAATCTCGATGTAGGTTTTATACAAGCAGAACTCAAGCAGAACAGGGATGCGATGGATCTAGCGCTGTTCCAACTGATGGTCCCGCCCGCAGCGTCCCCCCTAAACCGCTTAAGCGTTCAACCCTTGCCCAGAGGCCCCATAGTAGTTTCTTCTTGGGGTTCATATTTAGAATCCTATAAGGCAATCCCCAAAAGGAACTACTA